CGCCGTTCTTTCTTATGGACAGGTAACGTCCGGTGGCCATATTCTTGAACGCGCTACCTTTCCACATCTGTGTCTCCTGCCAGTGACAGAGGTCCCCTTCGCACTCGTCAACGGCCGTTATCGTTCCGTTTACTTCCGAGGACAGGTATCTACCGGAGCGGCAGGACCGCATAGTGAAGCTGTTGAGCGTAGCCGACAATCTCTGCAAGTATTCGGCGTCACCCTGCGTCGTGGTATTCACTCCGGCGCCGACGGACAGAGAGTAACCAGACCGACTCGTCAACATGCATGCGAATCTCCCGCCCTCGCAGTGCGTGCCGGAGGCTACGGTGCACAGAGCAAAGAGCAACAGTATCTTGTTCATCGTCTCGTTGATCGTTTTCGACTGTCTCGTCGATTGCCTCGTCGCTTATATTAGGTGGAGTAACGGAAACTCGATGACGTGGGTACTACGTCATCTAACTTGCTGTGACGTCAAACGTACAGACCGTTCGTGTCGACGATCATCTTCAGAAACTTTGTGTCGTCTTTGACGTAAACGGGATTTTTCAGGATGTCCTGAGAAGCGAAGAGAGGGCACCCGGAAGCTATGTTCATGTCGCCAGTCGGTCTTTTGAAGCTGCTGCTTCGAGTGTCCGGTTTTAAGCTGTCCGAGAGCGTGAGCTTTCCGTCGTCCTGGTCGAGCAGCAGCATCGTCACCTTTTGATCGAACGGCCATTTGAGTAGGGCGTCGTGGTCTCCTTTCATGACGACGAAGAACATGGAAACGTGCGTCCCTTTCCCCATTCCGTCGCCGTTCAAATAGATTCGGGCGCACATCTTGTATCCGAACCGACCGGCGTAGAAGGGTTGGCTGTAAAGGGACACGATTTTGCCACTGTCCGCCTGCTGCTTCCTCATACGCACGGAACTTATCTTCCACATAAGCACGCCGTCGTAGCTGGCTGTTTCCAGAATCTGAAAACGCAAATTCTGTTCCGACAGCTGTGCGGATTGGATGTCCATTTCCTTCTGCATGTTCGAAATCTGTTGTTGCGCGGGTCCGCGGAGTATTCCTCCTCCCCTTCCCCCGGTTCCACCGATGGCTCCCATTTCTTCCACCTTCTTCGTTAACGCTGTCGTCGATCCGTGCAACGAATCGACCGTCCGTCGGATGTCTTCGTTCGCTTTTCTGTCTTTCTTCGCCGTATTTTCCAAAGTTTCAATATTGTCCGGCTGCCCCGCCAGTTGTCTCTTAAACGAAAGAGAAAAAACATTTCATTAAAATTTCAGAGCGATTCGAGGCTAAAGAAAA